CACACACACACACACACACACACACACACACACACACACACACACACACAGTCCGACACATCAGTTTCTCAAGACTTCCTGCCACTCTTGTCGGGGGGTTGAAATTTGAATCAACAGTCTGCTAGGATTGCAGGGTTGGTGCGCATAAAGTGGACCGCTTTTCTCCACAGTTGGGTATCGTTGACTCTGGGCGACGAGATGAGTCCTTATCCATCAGTGAAATGCATCCTGGGCACAGTTGCCTGTACGGGTTCGACCTCCTGATTAGTCGGCGAAAGTCCGACGAAACGGGCTGGCACAGTCATGTTTCTTTTTGTGTTGTGTATAGCGGACGCGACAACGAACACAATCAAAAGGCTCAGCTACGGTGTCCCCGAGCTTTCCAAAGCCCGCTGAGTCCAATCACACCGGTGGGGACGAACGATTGACCATGCAGATTTTGAATTCCCGCTTGCGCACATGAGAGTTGAAATTGCCGCCTCCTTCCCCCCACACAAAAATGTTGGAACTTGCAATGCCAATGCAGCAAAGCCCTGTCCTGTGAAGACCCTTTTTTTCAATCTTAGGCTCGCCAGCACTTCTTCCTTCGTTCATGCCTACAACATTCTGGGATGAGTCGTGTTGCCCTGTTACCTAGCAGGGTGGGGGCATGAGGCCTGGGAGAGCTCTACCGGGAATACGACTGTGTTAGAGAATTTTAGAGTGGTTTGTTAGGGATTCCAGGGACTCTGAGCATTCAAAAGACTTTCTGTGGATTTCCTTTTTTGACTTAGTAACTGCAGCTTGAGTTTTTTTTTTTTTTTGAGAAACCCCCGAGGATTTGCTAGGGAACTGGAGCTTGAGTAGCCTGGCAGTAAGGGCTTGTTTTGGCAAAAAATAAAATAAATCCCAAATGTTGCAGGCATTCAAAAGAGACAAAAGAACAAAAAAAAGGATTGCTTCCTTCCTCATAGGAAATCCCAACTGTTGCAGGCATTCAGAATAAAATAAAATAAAATAAAATAGGTGTCTGCAGTAGGCCTTTCAAACCATTGATCCTCCTTTGCATTCAGTTGATGTCCGAGAGCCACATCAAAAAAGCAATCAGATGTGCGTGTTTTGAATCCTAACTTTTCTAATCTTAATGGATGATACCATCAATCTTCTTTTATAAATTCATCTTGATAGGAACCCCATCTGAATCTAGAGAGACTAAGAAAACTCCGACTAAAATCTTTTATTGTTTTTTTTTTGTTTTTTGTTTTTTTTTAACAAAACAAAACCACCCGGGTAGATGTTAGGGGTGTTGGTAAGAGCAGCAGACACCACTAGCATTCCCAGGTGGTGGGCTCCATCTATTGGTGGGGAGCACCACCTGCTGGAAATCGGGTCCAGCATCCCTTGAAAGGCTTGAAAACAACTTCTTGACATTCCAACATAAGTTGATATGTGCCTGAACCAGATTGGAAACAGCTACCTCTTCACCCACTTGAGCGGGCGCCAGATCTTTTTTTTTTTTTTTTTTTTTTTTTTCCAGATCTAACCATATCAAGTTAGTAACTATTCCAAGGCACTGATTCACTATTCTTGCATAACACCTAGACTTTGAGATCCAGCATCTTCCAGAGGTCGATCATATCGGTACCAAGAACTTGGGACCATAGACATTGGCGGTGGAGGGAAGGATGTGAGAAATCTGCGACAGAGCGAAGGGGGATTGAAGGGTCCACCACTATCGAATCATGGAAAAGCAGCCTGTTATCTCTGCAAAATCCTTCATTTTCTGTGTTTTTTCGATTGATTCCGTGACCAAGAGTCTACTGGTTTTGCTTGGTGTGCAGGCCCTTGAAAGAAAAGAAGTAAATCGAAAAATAGCTGCAAGAGCCACTCTATACTGCATCTGCGGCTCCCGTGTTCTTCTTCCGCCGCCAGGAGGCTTTGATACCGACATCTTCGTATGTTTTACTATGCGATCGACGTCCACTTATCCGTCCGTGGAAGGGGGCAGCATTGACTGCGAGAAGGAAACTGATCAGTTTGGGCAAGAGGGTGCAGTTCAGGGAGATTCTGCATTCCTTCTTACCCGACCTCCACACGCCGCCACTCAGCTTCTCTGCGCCCAGCTATGGCTGGCGCTCGCTACAGCCACGACAGCTGCTCTTCCTCTCTGGGCACTCCACCACCTCGTTACAGCATATCTGCTTGCATGTGTGTTGCCTAGCGGTCCCCACACTTTTGCCCTGGAGCGAAGGCCGCGTCCAGGCTGCCTGCAGACCCAGCAGGCAGCGCCTGAGGCCCGACGGAACAGCGTCTGCGTTCCGGCCTCTATAACTTACCTCACAGGCTGGGCCAACCGGTTAGTTACAGAGGTTGGCTACTGGCAACCAACCCATAGTACCGCTCGTCGGCCTTCACTTAGGGCCGGTGTGAGTGTTGCAGGCCTGCCTTCCCTCACGGCGGCCTGGGCCACATTTACAGCGGCTGCAGTACGCTGCGGACGCAAAGAGCGTCACAAAAGTGAAAAAGTAGAAAAAAGAAATTGATTTAAACCATTACGACAACATCATGCCTTTCGCAACATTACATTTAAACCATTACGACAACACTACACTAAGTTCTTGGTACAGATATGATTGACCTCTGGGATATGATTGGTACATTTCCATAATGTTCTGCCAGCCAACATTATGGCAAGTCATCAACCATATCATGACAACATTATGGAAATTGCTCCACTAAATGACATTCAAAATTGTCTCTCGGGCTAGCAATGGTCCCAGTACATTCAAAATCTCTGATCAATCCAAATGCATCTGGTCCACATTTCTCTCCAGATACGTGTCGAATGTTGAGTAGTGGAGCAAAGCCCTATGCCTTCAAGAGCGACATCATGCGAGCATTGCTTCAAGTATGCCTCTTTGACAGGGGAAACACTCCCAAGCGACACACAGTCACAGGTGATAACAGAGTTATGAAACACAGTGCGGATTGAGCCCATCGTTGTTGTTCTCAACTTGCCTGGGGCCATGTACTGATGGTCTAACACCAATCCTCTTCACATGGAACCAAGGGTGGAACAGTCCCAAGTGGAACAGTCCCAAGTGGAATAGGGTATGCCGTGGTGACATCGTGATAACTTACATGCCAACACAGATGTAACAGTCCCACGCGGAACACAGTTCGAGGTGGAGCAAAGTACACCTTCCGAACAAAATGTTTGAAAATGATGAATTTCATGTCAGCATAAAGCATTGTACACCAGCATCCCAAGATCATTACAACGCATAAATCCAGCCGCACGTTCCCCTACAGCGGCTACACCAACGTTATGTCGACAACATAACGCCACCACAAACCACCAGCCAGTACACCCGGGCCGGGAGGCGCCGTACTGCGCGCCAATGCGCGGCAAGCGTTTCCGAACCGCCAGCGACGCATTTTCGTTTCTTTTTGGCTGGCGCCGCCAGTCATTGTGGTCCGGTAGGCCGAGGGTCCGATATATTTTTTTTGTAGGCAACGAGTTACATTTTCAGCAAGGCTGGGGCCGTCTACTGGCGGTATAACACCAACATCGCTCCAGGGTTATGTAAACAATCATGCCTTTGATGAAGTTTCATCGCAACATTACGCCATTTACAATTTTAAATCAAAAAAAAAAAAAAAAGGAAGGTACAATTGTCAGTCTTGCAAAACATCCGTTAGAAATGGAACGATACAGACACGATGACCATGGACCCTGCGCAAGGACGACACAAATATTGAGAAAAAAAATGGTCCAAATGCGAGAAATAAAAAAGAGGGAAAAGCAGTGGATACACCCTCCATAACCGTATGCCTTTGATTTGAAGAACGACAACCCATTAATTTTTTTTTTTTAATGGGAACATATTCAACATAACATATTTTACAAGAGCATCATACCTGACATACCTTGATACTATGTAAATACCATGCCTTTCATCACCAGATCCGCCCTCAAAAAAAAAAAAAAAAAAAAAAAAAAAAAACACGAGCATCAGACCTTCCAACCCTTATCATAACACTACGTCTTTTCAAGCAACAACATACATTTCATAGAAACCCTCATCCAGACATCATCATCATCATCATCATCATCATCATCATCGTCATCATCATCATCATCATCATTGTCATCATTGTCATCATCATTATCATCATCATTATCATTTGATATGACAGCTGGGTGTTAAGTATACATTACGGCTTTTTGCCAAAATATCTCAAATTCTTCCACAGAAAATCACACATAAGTAGTGGTTCTGCCTTCCAGATTGAACTTTCTTTTTGTTTACAGGGATTTCACTTACCGCTACCTTTGCAGTGGAAAGCAAAACACAGAAATTAAACAGGCGGGGGGGAGGTGGAGAGAGAGGGGGTTGCAAACACCAGAAGCCACCAGCAGGTAAATGAAGATAGACATGCTGGTTGTTGTTTCATGCCACAGCCATCATTACCGCTAGACAACCGGGGTTAATTTCAATCCATTTGAGGCCTTGGTTTTGAAGATACTCAATGACCTGCGGAAAGGGGAAAACAAACACAAGGCCACGCATGTCATCAACTGCCCACATCAACAAAGCACAGGTGAAACATGCTATTCACTCTCTCTCTCTCTCTCTCTCTCTCTCTCTCTCTCTCTCTCTCTCTCTCTCTCNTCTCTCTCTCTCTCTCTCTCTCTCTCTCTCTCTCTCTCTCTCCCCTTCTCCCTTCCCCCTTCACACCCCTCTCTCTCCCTCACAGGTCATTGAAGATAACAAATGACCTGCGAGAACGGGACAACAAAACACAACATCAAGTACATCAACCTACACCCGTATCATCATGCACAAGCACTTCATGCCAGTATAGCCCTCTGTCTGTCTGTCTGTCTGTCTGTCTGTCTCTCTCTCTCTCTCTCTCTCTCTCTCTCTCTCTCTCTCTCTCTCTCTCTGTGCAAGGAAAATGAGCGATAGCAAACTTCAGAAACCAAGCAGCATCATACACATGAGACCAGATAGTCGTGACCTCGAACCGAAAGCAGAATTGCATCACGAATCCCACCAAATAAGAGCACAGCAAAAGCTCATAAGTGACAATGTTCAAATAGTCTCATCACCATCAACAAAGATCCAATGTCAACATCCTATATGGCGCTCGGCGCCCAGACTACAAATGGCAGATCCTATCTAGCCTATCTACAATGCCACTGATGACGTCAACAGCTCCCCGAAGTACGAGCAGATCTCGGCCAATGCCGTTCGCCGCAAGCACCAGGTATGTCTCTCGCCTCACTCATAACCTCGATCCGCAACTCACAGATGCCACATGCACCCAAGGACCACCATGCGCCCCATCCAGCATACAGCAGCGCAGCTCGGCTATGGCTGCCTGCTCCTTCCAGCTCGCCCGTAAGCGCGTGAGCGCTGGCCAGCGTATAGCGCAGCAGAGCTTGCGCAGCATGCAGCCAGTGCCCGAATGCCGAATGTGTGGGCAGGCCTTTTCCTATATGGAAGTGGCCTGCTTGCTTGCGTGCAGCCTGGCTGCGCTGGGCCCCTGCCCAGAAGCTTCCGGTAGGCCCAGAGAGCTAAGCCCCAGACCAAACGAATCAGGGCCTGGGCCTGTGGTGGTTACCCTTGTTCAACTGCCCACGGGCTGCGTTCGGTCCATGTTGCGAATCTGGCCAAGGGCCTGCCTTGGTTACATTCGAAAGAGGCACCCTGGGCCTGGGCGCTTTCAACCAACTGGGGCTGCGCAACTGCCTGATATCACCCAGTTGCGTGGTAACCCCAAAATAGGCCTGTAGGCCCTGGGTCGAGCCTGCCTTCACTTAGGGCGGCCGACTGTACAGAAAATAGGGCCCAATAGGGCAGATCGAGGCCTTGAGGCCTTTGGCATCTCTCTCTCTCTCTCTCTCTCTCTCTCTCTCTCTCTCTCTCTCTCTCTCTCTCTCTCTCTCTGTGTCGCTCTCTGTCTCTCTCTGTCTCTGTCTCTCTCTGTCTGTCTGTCTGTCTGTCTGTCTCTCTCTCTCTCTCTCTCTCT